TATGAACGATATTGGCTCAAAGATACTCTACCAAAGCCTCTTCCGCCCGTGGTCAGGGATGGTTAGACTCCTGGGAGACTCGGCAAACACGAATAATAATAATAATAATAATCCTTGCATTTGATATAGCGCTTTTCACGTCGGGAGGACGTCCCAAAGCGCTTCACAGAACACACTGTAAAGTGAATTGACTGTATATTTGTGGACGAAGCCCCAATTCCCCACTCGTTGCCTCCCAACAAAAGGTTGGTCAGTATTTGGTCCTTGGACTTTATTTGGGTTCTACTGAATCCCTCTGCGTTCGATGAAACCATCCGCTGGAGCCCGGGAGCCAAGGATATACAGGTCCTCATCACGTCTTCAAGACGTCTCAAAGCGCTTCACAGGATGTGCTGTAAAGTGTAGTGACTGTGTGTTTTATGGGCAAAATGTGGCAGCCAATTGCGCCCGGCAGTGACCAAATTTAATCGGGGGAATTGGACAACTGCCCTGTGAAAGCCTCTGAGACCCTTTCCCTCAAGGGCAAAGCTTATTATTTATGATATTATTGTGGGTAATGATGTCCTGGTTTCGTGCAGGGAAGGATGAGGAGGAGGAGGAAGAGGAGGAAGATGAAGATTACAAAGACGGTTCCATCTGCAGCTACTGTGGTTTCTGTGAGGTGAGTGAGAGACGCTGGGGCTAAGACCGGGATGAATTGCGGCCCTTGGGGCCTCAGAGAACAGCGGGTAACCCCCATCACCCCAGCCCTCACCAGGCTCCACTGGCACCCACACTAAACCCTGTACCCCATCACCCCAGCCCTCACCAGGCTCCACTGGCACCCACACTAAACCCTGTACCCCCATCACCCCCAACCCTCGCCAGTCTGCACTGGTTCCCTATCACAAACCGCATCGATCCTCTCACTCGTCCACAAATGCCCCGGTACCTCCCCGCCAACCTCTCCGACCTGCTTACTCCCCGCTCCTCTGCCCGCTGCCTCCGCTTGGCTGGCTCTGTCCCGGTGACCCTCCGCTCCACCATTGCCCCAACCCGGCACTGCCCCACAAACAGAGTGCCCCACATCATCATTATTCTTTGGGGTGTGAGGGGGTAAACGTGGAGTTGTGTTGATTCCCACAGCACTGCAGTGACTGTGACAAGTGTCCGTGTGAGGAGGGAGACAAGAGCCAACACTGTGAGGACTGCAAGGTAACAGCCAGACTCTCTCACTCCCTCTCTCCCCCTCTCTCTCTCTCTCTCTCTCTCTCTATTCTTCCCCCTCTCTGAGAATCTCCATCTCACACTCTCTCTCTCTCTCTCTCTTTCTCTCCCTCTCTGTCTCCATCCTTCGCTTGCTCTCCAACATTCTCTCTCTCTATTTCCATCCCTCACTCTCTCTCTCTATTCTCTGTGTCTCTCTCTCTCTCTCAATCTCCATCCCACTCTCCCTCTCTCTATTTCCATCCTTCACTCTCTCTCTCTCTCTCTCTCTCTCCCTTCATCTCCATCCACCTCTCTTTCGCTCTCTATCTCCATACTTCACTCTTTCTCTGTCTCCATCCTTCACTCTCTGTCTCTCTCTCTCTCTCTCTCTCTCTCTCCCTCATCTCCCTCTATCTCTCTGTCTTATCTTTCTCCCTCTATCTCCCTCGACCTCTTATTCCCTCTTATCTCCCTCCCTCCCTCCCTCCCTCTTTTCTGTCATGGTTTGATGTTGCAGTCTTTGGGGTGTTGAGGTGTATATAAAATAATGCTCTCTCTCTCTCTCTCCTCTCTCTCACTCTCACACTCTCTCCAGTATTGTCAGTTCTGCTATGTCTGCCCTGTTATATGCGAAACCGTGTGCAAACCAGGTAAGCTCTCGCTCTCCCTCTCTCACTCTCTCTCTCACTCTCCTCTCACTCTCCCTCTCTCTCACTCTCTCCTCTCTCGCGCTCTGTCTCTTGTTTGCTGTTTGACTGTGCGGAGGAGCTGCGAGTGTGTGTGACGACGATGTGTGTGATTGTCTGTGTGACTGCGTGACTATGCGTGTGTGAGACTGTGTGTGTGTCTGTGTGTGACTATGTGTGTGTGTGACTGTGTGTGACTGTGTGTGTGAGACCGTGTGTGTGTCTGTGTGACTATGTGTGTGAGACTGTGTGTGTGTGCGTGAGACTGTGTCTGTGTGGAGTGACCGTATTTCACTCTCTTGCTCACAGGAGGTTATGTGGACGAACTCTCTGCAACATTCTACCAGTGAGTAACGCAGGTGGGGGCTGAGGGGGTGGTGGGGGTGGTGGGGGGGGGGGGTGGGGGGGAGTGGGGGGGAGTGGGGGGTGAGAGTAACACAGAGTGATATGGCACAGAGAGACATACCGTTTGGCTGAACTCGATGTTTATATGTGGAGTCCCTGTAGCTCAGGGGTTAGACCCCTCGCCCCCCACCCCACAGCCCCTGTAGCTCAGGGGTTAGACCCCCCGCGTCGCACCCCACAGCCCCTGTAGCTCAGGGGTTAGACCCCTCCCTCGCACCCCACAGCCCCTGTAGCTCAGGGGTTAGACCCCTCCCTCGCACCCCACAGCCCCTGTAGCTCGGGGGGGGGTAGACCCCCCACCCCACAGCCCCTGTAGCTCGGGGTTAGACCCCTCGCCCCGACCCCACAGCCCCTGTAGCTCAGGGGTTAGACCCCTCGCCCCCACCCCACAGCCCCTGTAGCTCAGGGGTTAGACCCCTCCCCTCGCACCCCACAGCCCCTGTAGCTCAGGGGTTAGACCCCTCGCCCCCCACCCCACAGCCCCTGTAGCTCAGGGGTTAGACCCCTCGCCCCACACCCCACAGCCCCTGTAGCTCAGGGGTTAGACCCCTCGCCCCGCACCCCACAGCCCCTGTAGCTCAGGGGTTAGACCCCTCGCCCCGCAAGAAAGAGGAACCAGGGTTCGATTCCTAGTTGGGACGAAACATTGGGCAAGTTTCCTTACTCCACACACACGCGGACACACACGGACACAGAGACACACACAGACACAGACACACACACAGACACAGACACGCACGCGCCTCTGTTCACGCGCAGTCAGCAGGAACCCAGTCGTCAGTCTGGGATTTGTGGGAATGTGGGGAATGTTGGGGGGTGGTGTGGGGTCGACTGTTTTAAGGAGAGGATGATTCTCCCCCCTTGCCTGTTGACTCCCTCTCTCCCCCCCCCTCGCTCTCTCTCCCTCCCTCTCCCCCTCCCTCCCTCCCTCCTCTTCCAGATCGATTGCCAACATCTTTGAGCAACCCGGACAATAGAGGGACTCAGCGCTCGTTGGAGGAGGAGAGGAAAGGAGAGGAGAGGGCACCTTAGTCGCTTGGCTTCCAACACCATGACTTGTTCAGAGTTTTATAATCTGTCTCTGCGCCCCCCCCCCCTCCCCACCCACCACCACCTCTTCCCCCCTTTCCTCCCCCCCCCATTTTACCCCTTCCCCACCTCCCTGTCCCCCATCCCCAAGAAGCGCTCTGATTGGCTTTTGTGGGGGTGGGGGCAACCTGTTTAAGCCACCCCCTCATTCTCCCCAAATTCCGCCCCTGCTCACCAAAGAGAGCTCACGACCCCCAAACATCTCCAGACCCCCCCCTCCCCCACCCTCTCGCTCGGACACGAGCGACAGACACCCCCCCCCAATTCATCCCCTCGTTCCCCCCCTATGGTTCAACACAATCATAATGTATAGACTTCCCCCCCCCTTTCTACCCCCTCACCTCACCCGTGTGTGTGTGTGTGTGGGGGGGGGGGGGGGGGAGGGGGGAAATAACTTGGAATTCCATCAACTGAAAGAGCAGAGGGTTTTAGGGTCGAAGTCCTCACATCTCAACCCTGGCCCGTGTTTGTGTGTGGTGTGGTGGGGGGGGGGGAAAGGGGTTGTGGTGGGGGGAAAGGGGGGGGTCGGGGGTGGCGGAGGGGGCTTCTTGACTACATGGGCTCCCGGGACAGTCAAGGAATTTCAGGAAGAAGTCTTCCCTCCTCCCCCTCTCCCTCCCACCCCCCAAAAAAAAAGAGAATTAAAAAAAGTTTGGTCTAATATGGCTCTGATTTTGTTTCCAACTGATCACCTCTCTCTCTCTCTTTTTCACTCTCACTCTCTCTTACTCTCACTCTCTCTCTCACTCTCTCTCTCACTCTCGTTCTCTCTCTCTCCCTCACTTGCCTCTTTCACTCACTTGATCGCTCCCTCTTAGTCTCTCTGTCTCTCTCTCACTCTCTCTCTTACTCTCCCTTACTCTCACTCTCCCTTGCTGCGACTGGGCGAGAGGGGACGTCGCTGGGCGCAATGGCCTTTCGCCCTCAAAAACACACAGTCACTACGCTCTACAGTCCATCCCGCGAAGCGCTTTGAGATGTCTCGACGACGTGAGAAGGTGATAAGGCGCTGTGTCAAACTGCGAGGATTATTATTATTATTCTATGGAACATCAGCGATGGGTTTGACTAGAACGGGGGAGTGGGGGAGATTCTGGCTAGAAAAGCGGGGGTGAGGGGGGGGGGGATGGGGGGGTGGGGGGGGGGGGATGGGGGGGGTGGGGGAGTGTCAACCCGGTGGAAAGGATAGACTAGATGTGCATTGGGTTAAAGTCAGTTGGGAGAGTCTGTCGTCATTCAGCCTTCGCGAAATCCTGACAGAGGCGAAATTTCAGCCTCTCGCAAACTCCTCTCAAACATCCGATAGCGTGAGAGCATTCCTGCCCTGTCCCTCTCTCTCTCTCTCTCTCTCTCTCGCTCTCGCTCTTTCTCTCTCTTTCCGCCCGTTCGCAATCAGGGAACCCTGTCCAGCAAAGCCTCCCGGTTCCGTGAGTCTCTCCGCGGCCCCTGTGCCCAGTGCCGAGCCCGAGCCGGGCTGACAGCGCCGCTCGCTCACTCGCTCGCTCGCTGGGTTCAGAGAAAGTGCTGAGAGACGGAGAGAAACGGGGGACGAGAATCGCAGGGTCAGTTGGTGGGCTGTTTCGGGGCCGTTGCTCCTGTTTTTCTGGCTATCCAACACCCACCTTAATCCCCCGCTTGCTATTCCTAGCTCCCCGCAGTATCCGATATCACGTCGACATGGCCTCAGCCCCAGCGCTGAACCAGCTGCCACCGTCCAGCAACCAGACAGAAATAGCCCCCGGGCTCTCCAGCCACACAAAGCAAAGCAATTCACTGCACACACACACACACCACAGAGGGAGAGAGAGAGGCCATTCGGACCAGCCTGCTCTCCGTTTACCCCCCCACCCACCCACCCACCACACACACACACACACACACACATTCCCCCCCATACACACACATTCCCCCCATACACACACACACTCCTTTCCCCCCCCCCCCGTACACACACACACACACATTCCCCCCCATACACACACACACATTCCCCCCCATACACACACACACATTCCCCCCATACACACACACATACACACACACCATTTCCCCCCCCATACACACACCCACACTCAATCCCCCCCCATACACACATGCACACTCCCACTCCCCCTCCACACGTATACCCACACACTCCCCCACGTGCACACACTCCCCCTCCCCGCAGCCCCTTCCCCTCACACACACACACACACTCCTAAACTTCTCTGTAGCTCAGTGGTTGGAGCTCTCCTCGCGAGCGAGAGGACCCGCGTTCGATTCCCTGCCGCGAGGGTCGGGGCGAAACCTTAGGCGAGTTTTCTTTGACGCACGCGGGAAGCTGGGCTGCCGCGCCTCGCCCACAAAACCCACAGTCACTACGCTTTACAGTACATTCTGAGAAGCGCTTCGAGACGACTCAACGACGTGATGAGCCGCTGTATCAAATGCGAGGATCGTTATAATCCAATACAGCGGTTTGAGTCAACCAGAAAGACGTATTTGCCGGTCGCTTCCACACTAGTCCACCAGGCAGCGCTGCGACTCCAAGCACAACAGTTCCTCTCATTGACCACCAGGCAGCGCTGCTCGACCAACCATCCTTCAGACTCTGTGACTGTAACCAAAAACACACACAACTCAGAGCCAGTCCGGCCATCACTCGAGCTCCGTGTCCGTACCGGAGCCCCTGTAGCTCAGGGGTCAGAGCCCTCACCTCACAAGAGAGAGGACCCGGGTTCGATTCCCGGGCAGGTCGGGGCGAAACCTTAGGCGAGTTTCTTTACTCCCCCCCACCCCCCACACACCCACCCCAAACCCACCCCCACCCCCCCACACACCCACCCCCAACCCACCGCCCCACACACCCACCCCCAACCCATCACCCCCCCCCACACACACCCACCCCCAACCCATCACCCCCCCCCCCCACACACACACACACACACACCTCTGTTTACCGGCAGTAAATAGGAACCCGCTTGTTATTCGATTGGCGGAGATCGCTTTCCGGGGGTAGTAATCCCTCGAAAAAAATTAATCATTGTAATAATAATTTGGTCTCGTCAATCCACGGCTGTTCGTGGGGACGTTTCGCCCACAAATCACACAGTCACTCCACTTTACAGTGTATCCCATGACGCGCTTTGAGTCGTCTCAAAGCCGTGATAAGGCGCTGTGTCAAATGCGAGAATTATTATCATTAATATATATTTAATAATATGTAAGTGTTTCCCTCTGTGTTTCTGTTCCTCTCTTTCGTCTCTCTTTCTCTCTCTCTCGGTCTCTCTCTCTCTCTCTCTCTCTCTCTGTCCCTCTCTGTCTGTGTGTGTGTGTCTGTCTCTCTGTCCCTCTCAGTCTGTCTGTCAGTCTCTCTCTCTCTCTCTCTGTCTCTCACTGTGGGGATGTTTTGTGCTGTAAGTGACTGTCAGACGCTGAGCTGAATGTGAGGGTGTAATGACACACAGTGGCCACAAGACAGAGACAGAGACCGTCTTGTGGTCAATGTGTTGACCCACACACCGGTTTGTGGGACACTGCTGCGCACAAAACGCACAGTCACTCCACTTTACACTGTATCCCGTGAAGCCCTTTGAGACGTCTCAACGATGCACCAAACGCAAGGATTATTATTAGAATAATAATTATTATTATTAGAAGGGGCGAAGTCCCTCTAACTGAGTGACTGTAGGCTGTGATGTGAGCTGTTACTCTGGGAGACAGTTTGATCAGAAAAGAATCTAAATATACTTTTCCGATCCGCCCGTTCGTAAAAAAATTAAAATCGTTTCAAATTCAGGTTCGGGAGATCGCGGCGCAGTTCAAAACACAGCGCAGGTGGAATTAAATGTCTTTCCTTGGTGGAGAAATGTGATATTTCTACAATAATTATCCTCGCACTCAATATTATAATAATAATAATAATCCTTGCATTTGATATAGCGCTTTTCACGTCGGGAGGACGTCCCAAAGCGCTTCACAGAACACACTGTAAAGTGAATTGACTGTATATTTGTGGGCGAACGCGGCAGCCAATTGCGCACAGCAATGTCCCACAAACAGTCGTAGATTGAAAATGACCAATTTATTATTGTTTTTGGTTTTGGAGGATTATTATTAGGCTCTGTGTGGAGTAAGGAAACTTGCCCGAGGTTTGGCCCTCTGCCGGGGATTGAACTCAGGTCTCTCACTTGCAAAGCGAGTGCTCTAACCACTGAGCTACAGGACTCCACATATTATCCCCTCATCAAGTCATTGAATCGTCTCAAAGCGCTTCACGGGATACACTGTGGTTATTGTGATAATTAACCCCGGAAATAATAATAATAATAATAATAATAATAATAATAATAATAATCCTTGCATTTGATATAGCGCTTTTCACGTCGGGACGACATCCCAACGATCGATCGATCGAAGCGATCGATCCGCCAATCGACTAACAACCGAGTTCCTACTGACCGCTGTGGGTCAGTGGAGGCGTTGGTGTGTGTGTGCGCAGTAAGGAAACTCGCCTCAGGTTTCGCCCCGACCCGGGAACCGAACCCAGGTCCTCTCGCTTGCGAGGCGAGGGGTCCAACCCCTCCGGTACAGGACTGTTTGTTTGCGGAAAGGTTGGGGGGAATTCTGACGAAATATATTGTATTACACACTCCCCCCAACACCCCGATATTGTGCTGATTGTAAACTCTTCCTTTACTCCCCATCAGAGAGAGAGAGAGAGAGTGAAATGGGGGGGTGGGGGGGGGGGGCAGAGAGGGTCAGAGAGAGAGAGAAGGGAGTGACAAAGAGGAAGAGAAGGATAGAGAGAGAGGGAAAGGGATGGATGGAGAGGGATGGCGAGGCTGATATATATATATAGAGAGAGAGAGAGGGACAGAGAGAGGGGGAGAAGAGAGATGGACAGAGAGAGGGGGAGAAGAGCGAGAGATGGAGGGGATGGAGAGGTGGGAGGGAGGGAACAGAGAGAGGGGGGGAAGAGAGAGAGTTGGAGAGAGGAAGAGACAAAGAGAAGAAGAGAGAAGGGAAGGGGAAAGAAAAGGGCTGGACAGAATGAGATAGAGAGAAAGATAGAGAGAAAGAGAGAGAGATAGAGACAGACAGACTTATAGACAGACAGACAGACAGAGACAGACAGACAGAGAGGTGTGGGCACAGAGAGAGAGAGGGAGATGGAGATGGAGAGAGAGAGAGAGAGAAAGGGATGGAGAGAGAGAGAGAGAGAAAGGGATGGAGAGAGAGGGAGAGGTGAAGAGAAGAATGGGGAGAGTGAGATAGAGAGAGGAACAGACAGACATAGAGAGAGAGAGAGAGAGAGAGATGGAGAGAGGAAGAGAATGAGGGGAACAGAGACAGAGAGGCGGAGAGAGAGGTACACACAGACACAGACACAGACAGACAGAGAGATGGAGAGGAATAGAGACAGAGAGACACACAAAGACAGACAGAGAGAGAGAGAGAGACAGAGAGAGAGACAGAGGGAGAGGAGAGAGAGAGAGGTTTAATAAGGGATTTAAACACACGCAGTCCCGAGGCTGTGTAACACACACACACTGTGTAACACACACACACTGTGTAACACACACACACACTGTGTAACACACACACTGTGTAATACACACACACACTGTGTAACACACACACTGTGTAACACACACACACACTGTGTAACACACACACACTGTGTAATACACACACACACTGTGTAACACACACACTGTGTAACACACACACACACACTGTGTAACACACACACACACTGTGTAACACACACACACACACACTGTGTAACACACACACACACTGTGTAACACACACACACACTGTGTAACACATACACACTCACATACACACTTACACACACACACATACACACACACACATACACACTCACACATACACACTCTCACACACACACACACACACACTCACACACAGACACTGAACCAGTTCCTCTATTGGTTGGAAGTGACATCTTTCTCTCTGGGGCTATATATAGACATTACCTCATGTGTTTCGGGTGAATTTCTGTGTACATTTCACAGTACATTTCTCGCAGTACATCAAACACTAAAGCCTTACACTGTCTCACACTCACACACTCACACACAGGACCCCTCTCTCCCTCTCTTACACACTCTCACACTCACACACTCTCACACCTACACTCACACACACACACACACAGACACTGCCCTCTCTTACACACTCACACACACACAAACTCCTCTCTCTTACACACACTCTCACTCACTCACTCACACACACACACACACACACACAGGACCCCCCTCTCTCTCTCTCTCTTACACACTCTCACACACTCTCACTCACTCACACCACTCACACAGACTCACACTCACACAACACTTTACACTGAACTCTCACTCTCACACACTCTCACTCTCACACACACACTCACACACCTAACACCTTACACTATCCCCCCACCCCCCACCCCCCCTCCCACTCACACACTCTCATTCACACTCACACTCACACTCTCACACACAGACCCTGAGTCAATCATATCAGCAGCACAAACAGCAGGTAGGTTCAATATATATATATATATATTTAAATTTATCTTTGCCCCTCTCCCCCCCTTCCCCCATTCCCTCTCCCCCCTTTCCCCCATTCCCCTCTCCCCTTTCCCCCCATTCCCTCTCTCCCCCCCCCATTCCCTCTCTCCCCTTCCCCCCATTCCCTCTCTCCCCCTTCCCCCCATTCCCTCTCTCCCCCTTCCCCCATTCCCCTCTCCCCCTTCCCCTCTCTCCCCCTTCCCCCCATTCCCTCTCTCCCCCTTCCCCCCATTCCCTCTCTCCCCCCTTCCCCTCTCCCCCCCTCCCCCATTCCCTCTCTCCCCCCCTTCCCCTCTCTCCCCCTTCCCCCCCATTCCCTCTCTCCCCATCACCCCCTTTCTCTCCCCCAATACAGATCTGCAAATTATTAACTCAGGGTTTTTTTTTTGCAAAGACGAGTGGAATGAATGTGGGTTCGTTTGAGGGAATGATTCATTATTAATTAAGACAATTATTCTACGTTTAAGTAGATTTTCACTGTTTCCCCCCAAAAAAATGAATGATTGCATTGTTGTGTAATATTTTTGCTTTAGTTTAGACCCCAACAGAGGTTTGCAAAGAAAATTCAAATTGATGCGAGTTTTGCGAGAGAATTGTTCATTAATTAGGTCGATTCTGACTGTTGTTTTTCCAATTAAAATGATTGCTTTATTGTGTAATAATACTTTCTCTCTCTCTCCATCTCTCTCTCTCTATTCCTCTCTCTGTTCCCTTCTCTCTATTTTTATCTTACGAGCCATCATCTCTCTCTCTCTCTGTCCCTCTCTAACTATTCCTTTCTCTGTCCATCTCTCTATTTCTCCCAATCCCTCTCTCTCTCTCTCTATTCCTCTCTCTGTTCCCTTCTTTCTATTTTTAATCTTATTAGCCATCATCTCTCTCTCTCTCTCTCTCTCTCTCTCTATCCCTCTCTCTGTCCCTCTCTATCTATTCCTCTCTCTGTCCATCTCTCTATTTCTCCCAATCCCTCTCTCTCTCTCTCTGGTCCTCTCTCTCTCTGTCCATTTTTTCTCTCCATCCACCCATCCATTCTCTCTCCGTCCCTCTCGCTCTATCCGTCTCTCCCTCTCTCTATGTGTTCCTCTCTCTCTCTCTCTCTCTGTATCCCTCTCTCTTTCTCTCTTGTCACTCTCCCTCTCCATCCCTCCCGCTCGCCCTGTCTCTCTCTCTCTCTCCCCCCCTCTCTCTATCCCTCTCTCTTTCTCTCTTGTCACTCCCTCTCCATCCCTCCCTCTTGCTCTGTCCCCCTTCTCTCCCCCCCCCCCCCCCCCCCCCCACCCCCCCACACTCTCACTCTATCCCTCTCTCTCTCTCACTTTCTATCTGGACTTGCGAATCATTAAGAGACACCCTCCCACCCCCACCTTTCTCGCCCCCCCACCCCTCCCTGATCCCCCCCCACTCTCTGCCCCCTAAATAATTACCCCCCAATAAGGCTGTGTTCGGGGGGGAGGGGGAGGGGGGGGGGGAATGGAACAACAAATTGTATAGCGTCTTTCACGTCGGGAGGAATAACTTGAAAAGAACAGCTCCGAAGCTGATTTCTTTTTCTTCGTTCGAAACTATTCCCTTGCTATTAACCAGGCGGTGCGAAGGCGTGTTACATGTGGAGTAACACGCAGCCCGGAGCGTGTTACGCACTGGTGACACGCCGGCTTTGTTGTGTTAATCGTGGGCTGTGTGTGTGTGCGAGATCTGAGGCAGGTTTTGACTGCGTTTTCAATTAAAATGATTGCGTTACTGTGTAATAATTCTCTCTCTATTCCTCTCTCTTTCCCTTTCTCTCTCGATTGTCACTCTCTCTCCATCCTTCCCTCTAGCTCTGTCCCTCTCTCTCTCTCTCTCTCTCTCTCTCACTCCATCTCCCACCCTCTTTCGCTCTCTATCCCTCTCTCTCAGACACAGACACAGACACACATACCCTTTCCAGGGGTTAATAATGCCTTCAAATAAAAATAATAATAATTATAATTCGGTCGCTCGATCCACGGCTGTTTGTGGGGACGTCGCTGGGTGCAATTGGCTGCCCCGACAAAGCACACAGTCACTACACTTTACAGCGTGTCCCGTGAAGCGCTTTGAGACGTCTCGAAGCCGTGATCAGGCGCCGGGTCAAGGATTATTATTATTACTATAATAACCGTGGGCTGGGGACATGTTACACAAGGCGTTGGGCTGAGCGTGTGCTAACCCTGGGCTAATGGAGGGCAATTATGCCCACACAGGGGGGTAACTGTGTGCTGTGCCCGGGCAGGGCTGGCGATGGTGGTACGGTGGCTGGAGGCAGAGGGGTTGGCATGGCTCCTCCAAACCCACACGGACCGGCAGCTCATCGTGGATTGCCGGTCGCTGTCCGACTACACGGAGCGACACGTGTTGGGGGCCGTCAGCGTGGGCACCGCGTGGGGCTCCCACACGCCAACACGCCACACACGCGCGCCAACACGCCACACACGCCTGCCGTCTGACACGGCTCTACAGCAAACACAGGTTTGTCACTTTAATCTGCTTTCTCTCTCTCTCTCTCTCTCTCTCATCCTCGCTGCTAACCTGTCTTGCTCCTTCCCTCTCTCTCTCTCTCTCTCTTTCTCGTTCTCTTTCTTCCTCTTTCTTCTCTTTTTACTGCTCCCTCTCTCGCTCTCTCTTTCATCCTCTCTCATTTGACCTCTTTTGTCCTCTCTCATTCGTTCCCTCATTCTCTTTCTCTCTCTCTCTCTCTCTCCCTTATCGTCAGTCTCGTTCTCTCTCCCTCTCTCTCCTGTTCTCTACCTCCCTCTCTTTTCCTCCCTCGTTCTCTTTCTTTCTCTTCCGTCTCCTCCCTCTCCCTCTCCCTCTCTCTCTCTCGTTCCTCTCTCTCATTCTCTCCCTCTCTCTATCTCGTATTCTCTCTCACTCTCAGATTATTATTGATCTGATTCCAATTTATTAAATCCTACGTGGAATGTAGAGTCACTACACTTTACGGTAGTGCGCTGCGAAGGCTTTGAGACGTCTCGACGACGTGATAAGATGGTTGTGTGACCGTGTCTTACAGTGGGAAACTGCGGAAGAGAGAGACTTGGTGCTGTATGACCAGCGATCTCACGGTGTGTGTGAGAACTCAGCCACAGAGCTCTCCTCAGCCCTAACACACACTCTGGAGAAGAGATTCCAACGCGTTTACCTGCTTAAAGGTACGTGGAGCCCTTTAGCGCAGGGGTTGGACCCCCTCGCCTCGCTTACACGCGCACGCACACACACGCGCGCCCGCACGCACACACACGCGCGCCCGCACGCACACACACACGCGCGCGCGCCCCTCCGTTTACCCAGCAGTGAGTAGGAACCCGGTTGTTAGTTGACTGTCGGATCGCTTTCCGGGGGTAATGATCCCTTAAAAAAAACAAATGTGGTCACTCGATCCGCGACTGTTTGTGGGGGACGTCGCCGGGGGCGCAATGGGCCGCCGCCTTTCGCCCGCAAAACACACAGTCACTGCACTTTACAGTGTACCCTGCGAAGCGCTTTGAGACGTCTCAGTGGCGTGATGAGGCGCTGGCGTGATGAGGCGCTGGCGTGATGAGGCGCTGGCGTGATGAAGCGCTGGCGTGATGAGGCGCTGGCGTGATGAGGCGCTGGCGTGATGAAGCGCTGGCGTGATGAGGCGCTGGCGTGATGAGGCGCTGGCGTGATGAAGCGCTGGCGTGATGAGGCGCTGGCGTGATGAGGCGCTGGCGTGATGAGGCGCTGGCGTGATGAGGCGCTAACAATCCTGTGTCAAAGGTATCAAACCCAAATTTTATTATTATTATTATTTATTGGGTTCTTTTTCAGGGGGATTTGCGGTATTCTCGTCGGCCTTCCCGAGCTTGTGTGAGGGAAAGAGTCCAAGATCTCTCTTAAGCAGCTGTTCTCAGCCCTGCCTCTCCGCCCTGGAGGTGGGGCCCACGCAGATCTTTCCACACCTCTACCTGGGCTCTCAGAGTGACGTCTTAAACAAAGTGCGTTCCCTCCACTTTATCCTGAGAGAGTATAACCTGTATTATTATACTATTATCATGATATTATTGTATTCTTATTTGATTATCATTATTATAATATTACATTATTCTATTGATTATTATAATATTATATTATATTATTACTATATTGCATTACATTATTATAATAAGTATTACATTATTACATTATAACTACATTATAATTACATTATATATTATTACATTATTATATATTATTACATTATTATATTAGTATTGTTACATTATTATAATATTATTATTAAATTATTATATATTATAATATTATTATTGCATTATTATGTTACTATTGTCATATATCACTATAATATTATTACATTATTATATTATTAATATTATTATATTATTCCATTATTATTGTTATTGTATAATATTATTATTATATGCCTCTGTGCTGCTCTGTCACAGGAGGTGATGGTGAGGAACAGGATCAGCCATGTGCTGAATGTGAGTAGTAACTGTGTGAAGCCCAACTTCATCCCAGACACTCACTTCCTAAGAATCCCGATCGACGACAGTTACCGTGAGCGGCTCCTGCCCTGGATCCTCACTGCCGTGCAGTTCATAGGTACACGTGTCATGTGTTATGCACACGTGTGTCTCTGTTTGCGTTGTATGTTCTATGCATGTTGTGTGTTATAGACATGTGTGGTAATGTTACATGCATGTGTCTGATGTATGTTATGGTATATACATATGTGATGTGTGTTATGCTATGCACAGGTGTGATGGATGTTGTATACATGTATGCCGCATGTCATATACACGTGTGCTGCATGCTACGTTACAGACGTGTGAGCTGTGTGTTGTGTTATGTAGGTGAGCTGTATGTTGTATGGTGTGTGTGCGTGTGCTGACCCGTGCTCTGTGTGACAGACAAGGCGCGGAGGCTGCAGGGCCGTGTGCTGGTTCACTGCTGGGCTGGCGTGTCCCGTTCGCCCGCCATCGCCATCGCCTACGTCATGAACACGTCAGGACTCCCTCTGGACGACGCTTACAGGTGAGGACACGTGACGCTCGATATCTATGTCCCGGGGTGCGTGTGTGTGAGTGTTTGTGTTTGTGTGTGTGCATGTGTATGTTTGTGTGCGTGTGGGTTTGTGTTTGTGTGCGTGTGTTTGTGTGCGCGTCCCTCGTGCCCTCCGTTCCACCGTCCTTGGCCGCGCTTTCAGCCCATTGTTGCTCGTGCTCGTGTTACCCCCCTTTTCGTTGCCCCCGACAGGTTTGTGAAGGACAGGAGAGCCTCCATATCACCCAACTTCAACTTCCTGGGGCAGCTGGTGGAGTTCGAGCGAAACCTCGAGACCCAGAGGGACCTTTGCCCCCGGGGACCCCCACAAGAGGGGTCGAGCCCTCTGCCCCTCACCCGCTCGGAGCGGGGAACTGGTCCAGATCATGCCCCTCGCTACCCCTCCCCCCGCACTCCTAACCTCCGGGGGGAGGACGATCCCGAGTGGGGGAGGGACGGCCTTCCCGAGAACGCCGTGCAACCCCGGGACCCGCTGGAGGGCGTGCGGAGGCGGCTGCGGTTGAGTCTGTGGTTGCCGTCGGAGGCGTCGAGCGGGGGACGTGGCATGAGCCGGTCGGTCTCGCTGGACGCCTCGCCCGGCTGTTACCCAACGGCCAGCCCGGTCCAGACGGGGCCCGTCCCCAAGCTCCTGGGTTTCCGTGGCGCCCGAAGCCTCGCCATCGCCGCCTTCAACCCCTTTGCCCTGCTGTTCGGCAATGGCAGGAAGGAGGCCGGAGGCAAGGGCAAGTGCCAGCCCGCGCCAGGCAGCGCCAGCCTGGACCAGGCAGGGAGCAGGTGGGCTAACCACTCGCTCAACCCTCCAACGGGCAAGCACTCTGCAGCCCCTCCGTTGACCCTTAACCTCCCCGCCCCTTGGCGGCCCGCCTCAGAGCTCAGCGACTACGGTACCGTCAGGTCGTGAGCCTCTCGGACGCAGAGGGGATGGGACAGAAACACGGACGGGAGATCGGGAGGACTTTCTGAGGCTGTCGGGCGCTTCTTTCGACGTTCCAAAATCCAGGCCACAGTTTCGGTCTCTCTCTCTCTGTCTCTCTCTCCCTTGAAGCCCACAAAATATACAGTCACTACACTTTCCGCTATATTCCATGGAGTGCTTTGAGACGGCTCGAAGGATTATCAGTCATGTTATGAGCTAAATATGGAGAGAGAGAGAGAGAGAGACTCTCTTTCACTGGGCAGCGATCAAGGGAGATTTATCCGAACGATAGGCAAACAACGAGGTTGATCAGGACTTTGGATGCCTCCAAACTTTTCTAAGGGAATTGGGCAGAGAGTTGGAAAGGGATGACGTAGGGCTGGAGAGGGATGGAGGGGGAGGAAAGCTTTTACCGGGAGATCCAGCGCGCTGGTCTGCACTGCAACATTCTGCCGTTCTGTAAACCTGAAACGCACAGTCACTGCACCTCACGGTGAAATCCCACGAAGCACTTTTTTGAGGCGTCCTCCAGACGGGGCAAGGCGTTGTGTCTAAACGCCGAGGACTCTTGTTATTTATTCCGCGAAGCGCTTTGGGACGTCTCGAAGACGTGCCAAGGCGTTACATCAAACACAAGGTTTATTATCATTATTTATTGATGTATTTATTGTGATAATTATGTTATTCCGTGTCTCTTAACAAAGCATTCCGCATCAGCGTGGAGTTAATCTTCACCAGACTGTTTTGGCTGCACGTACGATGCCACCACAATAATAAATCGGTCGCTCAATCCCCGACTGTTTGTGGGGACGTCGCTGGGCGCAACCGGCTGCTGCGTTTCGCCCACAAAACATACAGTCACTACACCTTACAGGGTATCCTGTGAAGTGCTTTGCGACGTCTCGAAGTAAGGCAGGCGACGTATCAAATGCAAGGATTATTATTATTATTATTATTATATTATTGCAATGCCATCTTTATCCGCGTCCCAACACGTGGACGTTGGGAAAATGTTATGTCAGTACGTGACTATCGCGGTTAGATGGCGCTAGGCGCTGCGCAAAGCTGCTTGCACGCTCTGCTTGCTGGCGACACCTAGTGTCGAGAGAGAGCAGCCGCGCATGGACGGCAGCCGCTTGCATTTGTAACGGTGCCCTTCACGGCGACTCGGAGCGCTCTTCCGAGCTCCTCCGCACGGAGCAGAAACCACTGCTCAAGACGAGTGTTAATATATTGATTTATAGCGACGGTTTTAGCGCCTTTCTTTTCCCGCCGTTCCACGTGTCAAATAAAAGTCTTTTTTTTCTTGTGGATCTCTATGACGTTGCCCGTTTCTTTCTCCACCAGAGGATAAGTTTCTCCCCTACAAATTCCAACGCTCCCCGACCTGCTCTTTTTCTCTTTGACCGTGCCTTCAGCTCCCCTCTCGACTCTCTTCCTCCTCCTCGCTCCCTCCCTTCCCTCCCCTCACCCTGACCATTTCCCCCCTCCTCTCTCCCTCCCTTCCCTCCCCTCACCCTGACCATTTCCCCCCTGCTCGGGTCATGACCCAACTGTGCAGCGCCTTGGGACGTCCTCCTGACGTGAAAGGCGCTCTATAAATGGAATCTTGTTGTTGTTGTTGTTGTTGCTCGTGGGTCACTCGCTCAGGCAATCTGCTCGGTAGCACCCACAGCGCCTTCTGGCCTCTCGATCAGACGCTTGTGGGTTCAAGCCCCTACGTCAGGGCTCAACGCCCGGACTGACACTCCCAATATACTGTCAGAGAAGACATCAGATCCGGGTTCCCACGTCTGTGCCCCCACCAACGGTGCTGTTGGGAAAAGAGAAGGGCGTTTCCCCCTCTCTCTCTCTCTCTCTCCCGGTGTCCCGGCCGACGACGCCCCTGTGCAAAACACACAGTCACTACGCTGGACTAACTGTAGGGGAGTGCTCCAAGGTCGTGACACGGCACTGTACCAAACGCAGGTTCGATTCCCGTCCCGGGGGGGGGAACGGGGGCAAGTTTCCTCGTTTCCCCTCCCCCCCCCCACCCCCACACACCCCCCCCACCCCCACCCCCCCCCACCCAGCGGCAAGTAGCTAAGACGATTGGGGGGGAAAGTGCTTCCCGGGATTAATGGTTCCCCCCAAATAAATGTTAGCGGCTCGATCCCCGACTGTTTGTGGGGCCGTCGTTGGGTGCGATTGGCTCCGGGTATCGCAATCGCCCGCGAAATGCACAGTCACTACGCTTTACAGTGTGTCCTTTGAGACGTCTCGACGGCCCCGATCAGGCGCTACGTCAAATGCAACGGTTATTGTGGTTACCGGTCCCCAACCCAAACCCATCAAGTGCCACTGCCCCCCCCACCCCCACCACTCTACCCATCAGTTGCTCCCCCCCCCGTCACGTGGAGGAGGACACTCCGGCTTCACGCAGCTCACGTCAACCACTGCATTCCCGGCCCTCTCCACGCCCCCTCCCGTTCCCCCCCCCGTCACGTGAGGAGCGCGCACGCACGCACGCACGCTGGCTTCGCGCTACGTCAGCCGCACCCTCCTGCCCCCCCCCACTGCTCCGCCGACCGGCACCCCGTCACGTGATCGGAGTGAAGCTGGAGGAGAGCTCACGCCACACGTCACGTCACGTCAGCTCCGCCTGTAAATGAAGGCGCGCGCGCACGCACGTCATACGTCACGTTAGCTCCGCCTATAAAAGAAGGCGCGCCGCGCCCGGGCACCGCCGCGCCGCCCGTGTTTACTTCCGGCGAGCTGCGAGCCCGAGCCCCCCCTCTCCCTCCCAGCCGAGCGGGCGGTTCTAAATGACTCATGCCGCGGGCCCGCTCCTCCGCTCTTTCCCTGTCCCTCCGCCTGCTCTCCTCCACCTTCGGCGCCGGCTCTGCCTGGGCGGCGGCGGGGGGTGAGTGAGTGAGTGAGTGAGTGAAGCGGCCTCGAAGCCTGTGTTGTGGTGTGTGTGTGTGTGAGAGGCTTTTCCTCGCCATCTTCTCAGGTTTCTTTGCCCCCCCCCTCTCACTCCCTCCCCCCACTCACTAGAAGGCCTCTCCCCCCCCCCCACACACACCGGCCGGCTCCGCCCCCCCCCCCCCTCCGCGCGTGAGGAAGGAGCGGCGCCCCTCTCATGGACTGGTTAATGGGGTGAGTGCGACTATGGATCTGAGGGGGTGATGGTGGTGGTCGGGGGGGGGGGTCTGGTCTCGTTTGCCTCTTGTTCTCTCATTTTATATGCGCTCCCGCCCGCCCGGGAGGTTATCTGCGCGTGCGGTGCCCGCCGGGACTTGTAGTCGCCCCCTGGTGACGTCGCGGCCGCCTCCTCTCGTGCGGCGGCTGAGGGGGGGGGACTACAACTCCCGGCGTGCACCGCGGCGGCGGCGTTGTGGTGGTGGCGCCCCCTTTCGGGCGGAGCACGTCGTCGCCGTCCCATCAGTCCCAACGCAAGTCATGAGGGAAGAGAAGACACCCCCCACCCACCTCCCGCCCCCCCCCACCCCCACTCTGCTACATCAACAACAACAACAACTTGCATTTGTGGGGGGTGGTTCGCGTCCCACAGCGCTTCAGAGGAGATCACAAAAGGAAGGCCCTTAGCTGGGATTTGAAGGTGGATTGAGGGGGAGAGTTCCAGAGTATTGGGGCGTAGTGGCTGAAGGCCACCAATGGTGAAACGAAGGGCCCCCCCTTGTCTTGGGGGGGGGCGACGGTCACCACTCCGCCTCACCGCTGACACCCTCGAGGGAAAAAGAGGGGCAAGACTTGCTCAGTGTCCAAATCCTGGGCTGTGGCAAATCCCTTCACATAAATCCCTGGCACCCCTCTATCTCTCTGACTCACTGCCCGTCAGAGAGATTGATTGATTGACTCTGGCCTCCCGCTTGTCCCCCTGTTCCATCGTCGGTGGACGGGCTTTCAGCCACTACGACCCGGAACTCTGGAACGTTCACCCTCAGGCCTACCGCCTTGCCCTATCCGCCCCCCCCCCCCCATCTTCAGCTCACGCCTGAAGACCTTCCTCTTGTGTCACGTCCCGCAGACTCGGCATCGCGCTCCACTACTCTGGGGCGCTGCGTGAGTTGTTGCAAAATAAAATGTTGTTGGAAGGGTGGTCGAGACCTGCCTATTCCCTGCTAGGTTCGTTTTCCTTGGAAAAGAGTGTCCTTAACGTACCCAGGATACTCAGCTCGGCTCTGAAACACTGATGGCCCAGCGCCTTGGGATGTCCTCCCGATGTGAAAGGCACTATACGAACGTAATTTTGTTGTTGGCGTTAATGCAGCCATGTTTTGTTTGACGGGTGGGGGGGGCGGGGAAAATCGAACTATAAACTGCTTTGGTTATGTAGAGAGGGGAGGGCACAACCGGGTCAGGCGTGTCACTGCGGTAAATGTGCATTGTGATTTCATAAATGGCTGATGTACTCGAGTTTCTTTTTTTTTTAAAAAAAAGGAAGTTGAGACGGATGGTTGCTCGCGGTGAAATGCTTTTTCAAAAATATTTAGTGTTCTAATCGTCTTCGGGGTGTCTGGCCTAATTCGGACCAGACTCACGCTGTTGATTGGCAGATGGTAGGGCGGAAGTTCTGGAGGGTTGAGATAAGATGGGACGAAGGGCCTCCTTCATCCAAACTGATCTGGTGACCCACCCACTCCGCTCCATCATCAGCAGGTGAACTATCAGCTGCTTTACCCCCACCCCTGGAACTTTTTTCTCCGTTTCGTCTCTTCCCACTGTTTTCAAAGCCAGTCCGGAGGCCCATCTGTCTCACCCGGCCATCAGTCATCTCCTGGCAATCTCCCTTCGAGCTCGGGCTCCTGTCTGTCTACGTAAAGCAATTGGAAACATTTTCCTTACGTGAAAGGTGTTATATAAGTGAAAATTCTTGTTCTTTTCCAGCGATTCAGTGCTGTAATCTGGGCTCAGTGTGGGAATCCGTGCAAGCAGATTAGTAATGTTAGCCTAGTTTTACCAGACGCCCTCTGTCAAACCGC